AATCTGTAGGAGGATTTAGTCGTTTTAGGAAAGTTGCAGTAGATTCGTAGTAAACTACACGTCATTTGTTAGTAGTTTATATTTCTGACCAGTTTGCACTTCCCATTTAACACAATTTAACCTAATTTCCAAACTTTTAGAGAAACTTGCACACACTTAAAAATGTTTGTTGAAGATCCTTCGTACTTTTAACTATTTTTTATTTAATTTTCATTTCAAATTTATTTAACCAGACTTGAACACTAAACACATTCTCACAGTGCTGGTCTGGCAGCACCAACAGGAACTTGTTGGGTCAAGTGGCAGAACCATGAGGTCATTAACGAGACTTTACAACATTACATTGTCGCACGACAACATGAAAACGTAAATGATCTGGTTGTAGCAGCTGGTCCGATCACTTTTATTGTTACTGTGGCAAACTCTGGTCCACCGAGTCTCGTCTACCTCTCACTGATGTACCTGGCCTCGTGTCTTTTCTCTCAGACTTTCCACAGCCTTGAAGCAGAAGATGACTTGTCCCCCGGCTCACACAGCCAACGAGTTCTTGGCTTTCAAAGACGCCATTCGCTCTGCCCCGTGACTCTGCCCAACTCCAAGTTCAACAGCAGCAGCTCTGAGGTGATGGAGTCGGCTTTCGGGGGCCTGAACTTCGCCTCCAGCCAGCAGTGGAACCGGGTGCTCCCCCGCTCCTTGCTTAGCCACATCCCCTTCAGGGTTGACCGCTCGGTCAGTATGATCGAGGGACACGCCAGAGAGGACAAGATGTCAAACGTGTCCCCACCTCCGCTGCTCCTCCCACCTCCAGGCTTGTGCCTCAGCAGCACCTCCCTGGCCTCTGCTGCCTCCCTGACCTCTCCCAAAGCATCGGCGCCGCCGCCTCACATCTCCAGCCGGTACAAGACCGAACTCTGCCGCACCTTCGAGGAGAGCGGGACCTGCAAGTACGGCGCCAAGTGCCAGTTCGCCCATGGCCTGGATGAGCTGAGGGGCCTCAGCAGACACCCCAAGTACAAGACGGAGCCGTGTCGCACGTTCCACACGATTGGGTTCTGCCCGTACGGCGCCCGCTGCCACTTCATCCACAACGCAGACGAGGCGCACACACCCAACGCAGCGGCTCCTCTGAGGCCGAAGCTGAGGCCGCCTCTGCTGCGACACAGCCTGAGCTTTGCAGGTTTCTCCTCCTCCCCCCACACCTTCCAACCTGTAGAGGGGACCTCCTCCCTCTTCTTCACCCGGGCCTCCTCCGTCTCCCCTCCACCTTCTTCCACAGGGACCCCAGAGCTCCTTTCCCCTCTCTTCCCTGAGCCCAGTGTCCTGAAGCACTGCCCCTACACCTTCTCAGGCCTCAGTGAGCGGGACGGCAGCGATGCAGCTCCACGGTTCTACGCCGCCACCGACTCCAAGTGGTCAACGCCCAAGTTCGCCTCCAAAAAGCCGAACCTTTCGGTGCACCTCCCTCAGCAGCCCCCGGCGTCTCTGAACGGCTGCTCCGGCCTTCAGCGGTGCTCCTCGGCCGACTCCCTGTGCGAGGAGGGCTACACGTCCTCCTGCTCCCTCAGCTCGTCCTCCAGCAGGACGGAGTCGCCGAGTTTCGAGGGCCGACGCCTGCCCATCTTCAGCCGCCTTTCCGTTACGGACGAGTAGAGGAGGGTTTTACTTTAGGGCTGAGTTCACTCAGGGATAGGTGCTCCGTTTGACCCGTGTGCGTCTGAACGTTCCTGTACGTCGACGCCACGAGGATTGAAACGGCTTCTCACTTCCTTCCATGATCCAGCCGAGTAAACGTCCCCATCAGTTTGTGCATATTGCATTTCTTATCCAAGCAGCTGTAGTGCTGCTCAGCGTTCGTCCAGTTTTAGCCGACTCCTTTCTTGTTCATCGTTCCCTTGATGTTTTTACTGTTTTTGTTTTAACGCCATAATTACTGCTGTATACTGTTGTATACCCATGTGGTTTTTTTTTTGGGAGAGTAACTGTTCAAGCGTTGGGAAAAAGGATCTAAGATTATATTTTAGTTGGCTCTTCAAAGACCAGTAGGCTGTATCTGGTCGTGTTCAGGGATCTCCAACAGAAAGGTTTAAGACTTGTTTGCTGCCACTGATTGATCTGATTTGAACTTGTCGGCCGTTTAAATTGTAGAAAACCCAGAGTCTAGTTACCAAAGTTCTAACTCATTACGGTATGTTAATGCTAGAGCCTAACACGTTTTAGACTTATTTATTGCTTTTTGCATGTTTTTTTATTTGTGACTTTTTTTTTTTTTTTAAGTTGTGCTTTACCTTTTTAAACATTTTTGATTCATGTCCATCTGTTGGTTTTAAAAGCTTGACAAGAGGAGGGGGAGGGAGGACCTTTTGGCATTCGACATTGATGTTGCCTTATTGACCGACTGGCTGGTTGCTCCTTCAGGTTGGAACAGCCAGCCGGGTCTGCTCTCCTCTGCGTTGGGCCTCTGGATTGTAAGGGTTTCTTTTGAAAATATATTAAAAAGTGAAGAAAGTAGTTTAGCAGATCTTTATGGCCTCAGTTTGAGCCTGAAGTTACAAAAGTGGTTTCATTTTGGGAGCAAGTTTTTTTTTTAAATGGCCAGGACTGCGTCCCGTTGTGTAAAAGTTGCGTATCTTTTGGAGTTCGCTCGATGACGATGCGTTTGTAGGTTGATCTCTGTTGCACAATAGCTAGCTGGCTAACTCTGAGCGGCAGGTGAAATCAAACTAAAATCAGGACGAATCGACTCGACCTGCCCCCCAACGAGGCCAGACGTGCTCCTCGTTGTGACTAATTGTTGCCTTGACAACAAGAAGTTTGCCTATTTTTACTTTTGTTAACTTAAAAAAAAGTTATTTATTTTGTTTTGAAAGCAAAACCTATATTGTGTGTTTTTTTTTCACATATTTAAGTGCATCTATTGTTTACATTCCAGTGGATATGTTGATAACCTTGTTTTTATTCTAATATATATATATATATGTTCATTTTTATTTCAAAATAAAAGTCTTGGAAAACCTAGACGTTGTTTGTGTTTTGCTGTGTAGCATATGCATTAAAACTAAAATGATTGGTTTAAATAAATCCCCTTTTAAAGAAGCAAGAAGATGAGCATATAAAGTACATAAAACTATAGATTTATAGTGATTCTATCCTGATGCATGCTCAATAATCCAGGTAGAAAAATATAAAAAAGTTCAATCTGGTCCTCCGACATTCAAAAAACAACAAAGCAACAAGTTTACATTTTTGTTGTTTTGCTTTGTTTTGTTTTTTTGAATGTCGGGACCAGATTTAACTTTTTTTAGATATATTGATTCTACTAATTATTCTTTTAAATATACAGCTCTAAGGCTCATTAGCATCCCTGCATGCTTCCAACCTTCAGAAGCCTCATGTAAAAAAAAAAAAGTTCACACAATTTTAGGTTTATCTACTTCTTATATTAAAAACAGAACATTTTTGTTTCATTTTGGTGTTTGTCTTGTTTTAAACCAAAGATTCAGGTTCAATTTGATCCTGTTTTCGAGAAGGCACAGACTAGTAAAACAAAGAGGGTTCAGATATGTTTCTTTTAAATCTACTAATATATATCGTATTTTCTGCCGTACACGTCACACCGCCCTATGAGTTGAGTTGGTAATATGTAATAAAGTGGAAAAATCCATAAATACGTTGCTTCGCCGTATAAGTCGCATCTGTTATGCGTCACCGCTGACAACCTGGAAATGTGGCCGGTGTTGTGTCAAATATCGAATATGCACGGGAGGATTTTAACACGATTAACACTTAAACACAATTAGTTGTTTGCTCAGAATTACAGTAAATGTGTGTCTCAATTCAACTTTTCCTTAATAAATACTTTGACGGTCAAATCAGTTGCATTTCAAAAGCTGATACGCTGAAATGGGACTGCGCAGTGGGTGACTCGCTGTGCATTTCTTTGAAATTTAACAAGATGACCATCTAAAAACAACTATTTGTTTGCTCAACTTTATAGTAAAGTTGTGTCTCAGATGAACTTTTACTTAATAAATGCACTTCAATCGTCAAATCAGCTGCATTTCGCCGGGGCGGCGCAGAGAAACGAAGCTGATTTGACGGTTGCTCCAGGCGAGCTGGACGAAGGTGGAAGGCTGTAGCAAGCCTACTCTTATTAAAAGCCACTTTTACCTATTACATAACATAACGGCATGCCATACACTCCGACTGCAATCTAGCGACTGAACATTCGTGATTCAAGATTATTTATTTGAACAGGGTTCCAGTTACATTCAACAAAGTATTAAAATGTAAAAGAAAAACAGTAATAAGATCTAAGATATGAACTAAGAAAAAATTGAAAATGGTAGTGTTCAATATTTTCAGTCAGAATAAATGAAAGTGGTCATATCTCAGCTAGGGCCAGGCGATATAGACCTAAATGAACATCTCAATATTTTAAGATGAATCGCGATATACAATATATATCTCGATATGTTTTTCTTTCCATAAAGTGATAACAGAAATATATTTCTGAGTCAAAGCTTTGTCCCAGTTGTCACACAGGCACATTTATTAACAACAGCTGTAACTGTACAAAATAAATGTCATAAAAATAAACTATTTACATAAACAAATACAAGTTTCAAGACATTTGATAATGGCCATAAAAAAAATCAAAGCAAATATGTTCTTGTTTGTAGTATTTCACCCTGTTTTACGGCACCCAGATTTATTAATAAATCTGAAGTCTGATTGTAATGAAGTATATTCATTCAACCTTTAATAACTTTTATTAACAAAGCTCTGACTCTGAAAGTGCAGAGCTCAGTTGGAGTTTTTTTTTTTTTAATCTCTTTGGACATGGACACATCCTTGTTGTTCAAGCTTGTTTGTGCTGTACTGGTTTACTGCTGCGTCTAAATACCAGAAGAACACACAGCAAATAAATCACCCTAAACTGGATATTTGTCTCCATGTCTTTATACCTTGCCACTCTACAGTTAATTTCCTGGAGAACACCAAACCTCTGCTTTGTAGCAGCGAGCCAGTCATTTTAACACCCATCAGTTGTCTCCAACAAAGATATCTGCATATCTGAGCTCAGCTTTGTAATTCAAATAGTCTTCAGGTGCTGCAAGCGTTGGGTTTGTACTGAAAAGAAGGAGGGGCGGCATTAAGGTGCAGACTGGGAGGAAAAAACTGGCAATGCTAGGAAACGCCTTGTATCTGTGACTTTCCTTCCCTCCATTGATTCAGGTGACATTATTAACATGAACGCTCCTACAAGAACCCTGCAGATGTTGGATGCTGCAGATGTTGAATGCTGTCTATCATGGTGCACTAAGATTCATAACTGGCTGTGATTATCGTACCCACCACTGCACCCAGTATTCACTGGTTAACTGGTCACCATTAACTCCACACAGACTCTCTCACTGGTACATTTTCATCTTTAAATCACTTCTTGGTCTGCTGCCTTCATACATCTCCTCCTACATGTCTCTGCGTGAGTGCAGTTACAGCGTGCGCTCTCAGGACATTATTACCTGCAGTGTTCCCTCAATGAGGACTGAACTAGACAAAAGGACCTTCTCCTACTCTGCTCCTGTTTCCTGGAATATCTTACAAAAACAATTGAAGCTCTCGACCTTTGACCTATCTAAGTGGCTTTAAGAATCTGTTGGACTCCTGGCAGGGACCAATGCAGACATGTTCCTGTTTTTAGTTTTCTACATTCGCCTTAGAATCCAGCTGTTACTTTTTTTTGCCATCTTTTATAATAGTCCACTGTTGTCATCTTTCTTTGTCTAAATCAGGTCTCTCTTGTAAATGAGTCCTGGAGGCTCAATGGGATTAACCTGTAGAAATAAAGGTTGAATGAAAAAGAAAGTCGATATAACGCCCAGCAAAAATCCATAAATACGTTGCTTTGACGTATAAGTTGCAGGGTATGTAAATTATGCAAAAAAACCACAACTTATACAGCAAAAAATACGGTTTTAGATATTTTTCTTTAAAATTTACAACTACTGGTAATAAAGATTAGTTTCCTCACATCAACTTTCAGCAACCTCTACTTTCTCACAAATAACACGAAATCCATTTGAAATGGTGGAAAAGGAAACGTGGACGTGGACGGAGGCCTTTTTGTCTTGTGTGTAAAATCAGAGTTCTCCGTGCCGTTATCGAACAACTCCTAAACTTTGGGTAAACGCTGAGCAGTAAAAGCGTCTCTAAGGTTTGTCGGCACGTTCCCACGAGCGGCTCTTTTAAAAACGCCGGCTCTTTACGGTCGTCTGTGACGCACAAGAACACAACTGTCCCCCCCCCCCCCCCGGCCTGTGGGATGTGTGGGAAGAGGAGTGAGTTTTGTCGCAGCTTGTCCGAACGGACCAATTTAGGGTGAGTGACACTGAGGAGAATGTTTGGGCAACAGATGCTCGAACAAAGACTTCCCGGCACACAATGGGCCTCTGAGATACTTGTGACTGATTTCCATCTATTCACACAAAGTGGAGCAGAAGTTGAGGTCCTCCCCGTGTGCGTTTGTGCCTGAAAACAGGAGTTTGAACCAAACTTCCTGCTTCTCAAGCTATTTTTGTTCACTGAAACAAGGCCGTGTAAGCTTCTCTATGATGAAATTAGATCATTAAACACAAATAAAGTCGTTAATGAAGATCCTGAATGGATTGAAGTGAGAGAAAAGAGAAAAACAGGCAGTTGGGATCCTGTTTTTGAGTGTGGTGGCATTCGGCTGCGGTCAGGCCAAAGATTTCACATGAATGAAGACCAGCAGCAGGCCCCCCCTCCCC